ACATGGTGGTGTTGGGTCGATGGTTGGACTCGATGATCTTAGAGGTCTTTTCCAACCTTAATGATTCTATGATTCTCCTAAGGGTTGAGAGAGCGGAGGAGAGCTGTGCCACTGGGCTCCCTCCTCTCCGCCGTCAGGAGAGCCCAGCTGCTGCCTCTCCCCACCGGAGGTGGGCAGGGGGCAGGCAGGGGTGGGCAGCATCCCCCGGGCGGGGCTGGAGTGTGCAAGACGCTGGAATTGAGCAGAGCGGGCCCAGCCTCGGCCAACACCCCAGCGCATCCCAGAGCTTGGCACTGGTAGCGCTGGAGCAGGACGAACAGCCAAGGGCTCCCCCCCCCAGAGTCACCCGTGTTCCTCTCTGTGCATCGCAGGTGGAGAACATGCTGTTCCCCAAACTCATCTCCTTGAACTCGCCTCACTTTGACTTCACGGGCTGTAACTTCTCAGAGAAGAACATGTACGCCAAAGACAAGCGGGACGGGCAGTCGAAGGAGGGCAGCGGGCGCGTGGCCGTCTACAAAGCCTTGGGGATCATCCACAGGTAGGCAGACCTCTGCTCGCTTGCTAAACGTCCGTGCCAGCTGATCTGGCCCAGCCCTCCTCCGTCCTGGAAAAGGGGGTGGCCTTGCTGGACGCGGGCCGTTAAGGAAAGTTGAAACCACTTCTGTGGGGGCAGCTGTGTCCTGCATGGCTCTCCGGAGGGCTTGGGACTTGCCTGTTGTCTGAACCGGCCAAGGAGGGTGTTATGTGCTCGGTGGAGTGCAGGCAGAGGCCGGGACCCGGCCGTGCCAGGTACCGCCGCGTTCCTGACCTGCAGGCGTTGCCCTGCTTCACAGCCTGGCTCCTTTTCCTCTGTGCCTCCTGTCCCTTTGCATCCCTCCTGCAGCTGCTCTGGCTTCTTGTCCTAGCCGTTGTGGAGCTGCTTGTGCGCTGCTTTCCAGAAGGAATTTTCCTCTTTCCCAGATGTTTATATTTGTGTTGAGCTGTAATTAAAACCTCTTTAGTTGTAACGGGCTCAGCTTCCCCAGACCTCGCATGCGAGACTGCCGTGCAAGATCCCAGCCTCGACCAATCCGTAATTCTGCGAGTTGAGGCTATTCGTGTGACCCGTAGCAGCCACGTGCCTCTCTCCAGCAACGGACGGGATGTTTTTGGCCTGTGTCTGTTGCGGTTGCTGGGAACGTGAGAATGGCTGAACTAATCGGACCAACAGCCTGCCTTACCCTGTTTGGCCCCGGCGGTGGCCAGTCGCAGACGCCGAGGGAAGAGTACAAGAAGTGTGTAACGCTGCTTTAGCAGATGCCGCGTTCCCCGGGAATCTGCGGTTTGAGGAAACGTGGAAGTAGTGCCAGGCTTCCTACCAGCCCTGGACTTCCCCCCAGAAACCCCTGCGCCCCTTCTCCTGTGAAGAGCTGCTCTCTGCGGGTGCAGTTTCATCGCTGGCGTAGGACCAGGCTGCCAGCAGAGACGGTGGCTCCCTCGGCTCCTTTCTTTCCCCCGTTTCCTCAGCGCTTGCTGTGCGCTCTGCTGCTTCTCTGCGCCTGGCCGCAGGCTGGGTCAGGGAGCGTGCTGATCCAGCTAAAACCAACCCTGCAATGACAAACACGCGGGTTTTTTAGGCTCAGGTTGCTTAGGCTTAGCTTGCACTGTGCCCGTTTGCTGGAGCTGGCAGGGAACGGCCCATGGTTAATCCAACAGAGGCCTCTCGGTCCCTGGATGGTCTTTTTTTAGCAACAGATGCAACGTTTGCCTCTCTCCGCCCATCAGGGACCCCCACGCACACTCCCCGTCACCTTCTAGAGCCCCACAAGGACCTCGGCAGCCCCTCGGCACCTTTGGGTGCTGCCCCTCAGGGCCGGTGGGCTCACGTGGGTCATGTTTCTCAGAGGATCCCCAGCTTGATTACCCTCTGTTTCTGGTGGTGTTCCTCCTGGAGCCCCATCTCCAGGCAGAGCGATCCTCCCGCCCCACCCGCTGCTTTCTGCAGTGGAGCTCCGTCAGGAGTTCCCCATCAGCCAGCTGATCTCCTGGTACGTCTGTCCGTCTCCCCGAGTACCGGGATGGACCGTTCCTGCAATCGGAGGATGCTGTCCTGAAAAACCTGCCGCCTTTCCTAGGCTCCTTTTGTCCTTCAGAGCTGTCTCCAGCAGGACCCCCCTTACTGGTGCCCTGAATTAGCCGAAATCTGCTCTTACGAGGCCCAGGGTCTGTGCTCTGCTGCTCTCCTCGGCTCAGGATCACGAAGTCCGTTATTTCGTGGTCACTACAGACAAGGCTGACGTATATTATCACATCCCCAGCTAACAAGTTCCTCCTTGTCCGTCATCCAGCTGTGCACCACCCCTGGGTGGCCCATCCAGCACCCGTACACCCGTATCGGGAAGTTATTCCCCAACACCCTCCAGAAACCTGGAGGACTCCAGGACTTACCGGGAACAGAAGCAGTATTTAATGGATGTTTCTGGCGAGGGTTTTTTTTTTCTTTCTCATCGCTGCTGGGCGCGGGTGAATTTCTAGCACCCATCGCATTGTGCAGCAGAGATGCGCGGGGTAACCAGGAGCCACGCGCAGGCGTTCATCACGTATCTTAAAAGCCGTTAGGTTTTTTTCCCCACCTTGAAAACGCTGGGGGTGAAAGCTTGGAATAAAGAACACAGTAAGACAGCAAACGGAGAAACGGCAAAAAGGGGAGACCCCCGCTTGGCGTCCCCGGGGTCAGTTTACAAAACTTGGTGCCCACCGGGACCCCCAGCACCGTCTCTGTAGAGCTGCTCTCCCCCCGGCCGGCCCCGGGCTGCGCAGCTGCGGGGTTGTTCTTCCCCGCAGCAGGACTTTGCCTTTCCCCGCGGGAGCCTGGGGAGGTCCTTGCCAAGGGCAGCGTGACCCTCTGGAGCATCGCCCCCCCCCCAGCTTTGCATCCTCCGCAGCCTTGCTGGGGGCAGGCGCTGCCTTGGCACCTCGGGCACCGGCACGAATCTAAAACGTAGTCCCGTACCAGCTACTCTGAAGAAAATTAACTCTGCCCCAGCCAAAACCAGCACACCGGGCCACACAGCCAGGGCCAGGGCTCCAGCCGGGCTCTGTGCCGTGCTCACAGCCTGGCACACCAGCCAGCGTTCAGGCCACCTCCCCGTCGCCTGTCCTTCGTCTGCTCGCCTGCCACGGCGGGGTGGGAGACAGTGTCCAAAGCTGTAAGCCATCGCCCACGGCTCTCCCTCGGCCTCGGAGCTGGCCGTTACGTCGTCGAAGGCTGCCGGGGTGGTTACGCGCGATTTCTCCTTCGTAAATCTGCTGACTGCTCCCAGGCACCTTCTGTCCTTTCCTAATCCCGGAAAATAATCCGGGATTATTTTCTCCATCACCTTCCCGGGGATCGAGGTGAGGCTGACCGGCCCGTGGGTCCCTGGCTCCGAAGACAGGGGTGATGTTTGCTTTCTCCCCGTCCTCGGGACCCCCCTCGGTCACCAGGACCTCTCCGGGATAATCGGCTGCTGCCTTGCCGGGACGTCGGCCGGCTCCCTCGGCACTTGCGAGGGCGTCCCGCCGGGTCCCACAGATCTGTGCCTGTCCAGGCTGTGCAGGTGCTCCCTGAGCTGCTCCTCCTCTGCCGCGGGGACGTCTCCCTTGCTCCAGGCTTTCCTCTGGTCTCGGGGGCCGGGGGTCGCTGAACGCAGAGCTCGCCAGCGACAACTGAGGTGAAGGAGGCGTGGAGCACCTCGGCCCCTGCCCCAGTCAGCAGCTGGCTCACGCTCTCCCTGGTCTTCCTTCTGCTACTGGTACACCTCTAGAAGCCTTCTTGTAGCCCTTCTCATCCCCCAACAGATCCAACTCCAGGTGGGCTTTGGCTTTCCCGGCCCCATCCCTGCCCGTTGCGACAGCATCTCTGCGTCCCTCCCACGTCACCTCTCCCTTCTTTCACCTCGTGCGCTTCCTTTTTTAATCCGAGTGCGGTCAGGAGCTCCGTGTTCATCCGTGCAGGCCTCCAGCCTCCCTTGCTTGACTTCCCGCCTCTCTGGGTGGACTGTTCTGGAGCTGGAGGAGGTGAGCCCTGAAAATGAATCGGCTCTCCTGGGCCCCTCTTCTCGCCAGGGCCCTGTCCCTGGGGACTCTCCCAAGCAGATCCCTGAAGAGGCAAAATCTGCTCTCCCGAAGCCCGGGGCTGTGATCCTGCTTTTTGCCTTGTTCCTTTCTCTCAGTCTACTGAGCTCCACCATCGCGTGGTCGCTGCAGCCAAGGCTGCCCCCGGCCTGCACACCCCCGACCAAGTTCTTCGTCTGTAAGTACGAGGTCCAGCAGTGCCCACCCCCAGCGCCCCGTCAGAATAGCCCCACAGGCAGGGCTGCTCCTCGGAGGGGTCCCGTTGAGTTGGTGAGGAGATGAGGCACCTCTTGACCGCGCTGCGGCATCGTACGTGTGCGGTGAGTTCTGCGCTGCAGCATCGTACGTGTGCGGTGACCTGGCCTGTATCAGAAATAGTGTGGCCAGCAGGAGTAGGGAAGTGA